CAATTTATAATAGCAACAAAACTATTATAAACATTAGAATCAACATTTTAAGTGTTAGATCTGTATAGAGAAAATTACAAAACTGTATTAAGACATTAAAAACCTAAATAAACAGAATACATACCATGTTCTCAGACAGGAAGGCTCAAAATCTTAAAGATTTCAATTCTCCCCCAAACTGATTCAATCAATTCCAATTAGTTCCCAAAGAGTTTTTCATGTCACGTGAGAAGCTGAGTCTTAAAATAAGAACAAAGGTCTAAGAACAGCTGAGACTCAAGTTCCCCCCAGACATCTAGATTTCTGGTAAAGCTATAGCATTAATAATTATGACAGTGTGGCATCAACACACAGAGAGAGAAGTGAACAAGTGGCACAGAAAGGTGAGCCAGAAACAGACCAATGCATGTAGGAACTAAATGAAAAAGAGGTGGTTCAGCAGATCACTGGTGAACAGAGGTTAATTCAATACATGGTATGAAGACAACTGTAGCCACATGGGGGAGAAATAAATGCAATCACTGCCTCACACACAAAAATCAATACCAGATGGATCATGAATTTAAATGTAAAAGGCATCATTTTAAAACTTACCAAAAAAAAACACAGGAGAAAGTTTCAAATAGATAACATTAAAATTAAGACCTTCAATTTACAAATACACCATATGGAATGAAAAGACAGGCCACCAACAAGAAGATATTTACAATGCATATACTCAGTAAAAGATCAGTGTTACCAGTTTCCTAGTCTTAAAAGACAAACCAATAGAAAAATGGTTGAAAGGTATGATCAGGTATTTCACAAAAGGCAAACAGATGGTTCAGAAACATACGAAAAGATTTTCAACCTCATTAACAATCAAAGAAATCCAAATTAAGACCACAATGACACCATTTCATACCCATTTGATTGGCACATATCAAGAAGTCTGACCAAAACAAGTGTTGGACAGAACACAGAGCAACTATAGCTCTTATACACTGCTTATCAACATGTATAAATTGACAAAACTGCTGGCCAAAGTGTAAGCTGGTACAACAACTTTGGGAAACAATTTGGTATCATTTGTAAAGTCGAACATTCATACCCCATTACCCAGCAATTCCACTTCTAGCAAATAGCTTACCATAGTAGCATTCCAACCTTTTTTTTTACTTACAAACAGCCAAAGATGTTTTTAAAAATTACATACTCTTCATACTTGAAGATGACATCTAAAAAATTTCTGCCTAAGTTGAAATAATTGCAAAGGATGAATTTCAGGAGTATCACAGTCATGTTTTAAAGCAAAGCTGACATATCCTTGTTCAAACTGTTGTGATCATGATAGCATAGAGTTGATCAAAAAATATATATGCTGATAAACACAAAAAGTGAGTTTTATTGGAAATGCAGCACTTCAGGAGATATGATATGCACTGTTGTAAATTATTTCTTTGTTTTCCACACAGTTTTTGCACTTGGGGCAATGCCCTAGTAACATTCCATGTGGGTAAGTGGTATGTCTTCTTATTTAAGGTAGAAGTGCTATTACGGAAAAGAAGGTAGGAAAGTAGAACTAGCAGGAGGCCTCTATCACAGGCCTCAGGCAATATCAATTTCAGGAAATAGTACACACGGAATTTAATGATCTATAAATTGATTCATTAATATCTCTTGTACCCAAGTACTGCCTAGAGAATCTTCAATATTCCCTTAGAGGGTCATGTACCAATGTGAATAAGAGAAAATTAGAAGGCAACTGTGTAATAGATACATACAAGAATTTTCATAATAGCAAAACCTAGAAACAATCAAAATGCCCATCAACAGAAGATTGCATACACTGTGTTATATTCACTTGTGGAATATTACACAGCAGTTAAAATTAATGCCTTACATCTATACTCAGTATCAGTGACTCTTAAAAATATGACATTGAGTACAATAAGCAAGTCTCAGAAAACTGTATCCAGTATTTTTCTTTTAACTCAAAAACAACAAATCATACCATACATTGTTCAGGGATGTATATATGTATCTATCAGATATAATTATTTTTAAAAAACAGGAATGACACACAATTCAGGATAGTAGTCATTGGAAGTGAGCACATTCAATATTAGTCATTCTGATTCTTGGATCGGAGTGGTGGATTGACAGTTGTTTATTTTATTGCTTTGCTTGATAACCTATATACATGTTACATATATTCTGAATGTATCAAATATTAAAGGGGGAAGGAGACTTTTAAAAACCTTTTTATGAAAAAAAAAGTAATTAAATCACCTCACCTGCCACTGGAGAGGTACATATAACAAACCATGGGAATTACCATGTTTACATCAAACATAACTAGATACATTAACTAGATACAAAATAAGTGTTTATTGGAATTAACCTTATGAGAACCAAATGAGATAAAGACTGAGGCAGTTAGCTGTGAGAGATGAATCCATAGGCTGACAAAAGGCTAGAGCACAAGCCAAGGTGCAAGCAAATTTAGCCACAAACTAATTATAAGGAAGCCGGTCAGTAAAGAAAAGGCAAAATTTTTAAATCTGGTAACATACAGTGTTAGCAAGGATGTGAGGAAATGGTTGTCCTCACTCAATACCAGTGAGAGTGAAAATTAGTACAACCACTTTGAGAACTTCTGAGGTATTTGGTTAAGTTAGAGGCATATCTTACTATCTAGTAAATAAATATACAACTAGTTTATTTCCTAGAGAAACTTCCAAATGTGTGCACAAGCAAACCAATACAAAGATGTTTACTGAGCGATTGTTTTCAGAGTCAAAAACCAGAAACAACTTCAAGGTCCATCAACAGGGAAATGGATAAATTATGGTATATTCATACAACTGAATTCTATACCAGCAATTTAAATGACCAAAGATAACATAATGATCCAATTTATTCGTATACACATCTCAAATGTGAAGCTGATTGAAAAAAGCAAGTTGCAAAAAGGCACATATAGTTTAATACCAATGATGTTTAAAACACACAACACTACACGTTGTTTACGGCTTCACCGTGATCCAAGTATAAAATATACAGGAGAATGATAACCACAAACCTGAACAAGGTGGGCACCTCTAAGGAAAGGGGGAGGAACTGAGAGCACCTTCAATATCTGCAATTTTTTAAAAAGAGAAACTGAAGTATATTTAGCAAAACAATCACATCTGTAAATCTGAGTCATGGATTGATCTCCCTCGGTATTTTACATGTGAAATATCCCAGAAATTAAAAAGAAAAAATAGGAAATTATTCAAGAATTAAGAAAATTAAGCAAATGAACAGAGAAACGCAGCCCTCGAGTGCAGAGCCCACACCTTGAAGCAAGAGGAGTAGCTGGGTTTCAAAAGCGTAAATTTCTTTCTCTGTGTATCCTTACAATAATTCCCATTTCCCTCAGGATAAAATGCAAATTTCTTGCAATAAAAAATATCCTAACTAGAGCTGTAAATATAAGGAAAGTGCTCCCAAGGGAGGAGTAAAATCTGTAAGATGTCTGCCTTCTTTCTCTCCTCAGGATGTTGGGCAGAAATCAAGAGACAAATTATGTGAACACCATTAAAAACTTGTGTGATCAAGAATGCCCAGGGTCGGCTAAAATTTATTTGCCCAGTGGCGCACGTTTATCTTGGAAGAAGTCTAGGGCGCCTCTGGAAAAGGCATGCCGCACTGGTAATTCACCCACGCCTTGGCACGATTCTTCGCCCCTGGCCCCCTTACTCCGTTACCCAGAACAGGCGAGCTCGACAGGCCACTTGCGATAAACGCTACACGGCAGCTGCCCAGACCAATGGCTGTGCCCCCTTCCCACGAGCGTCGGGGGACGGGGGAGCGCTGGGTGGATTTCCCCTCCCCTGGTCCCCGCCGTGCGGAGGGGGCGGCCGCAGACTCGGCAGCCATTCTCACGGAAAAGGTGGCGCAGACATAAGGAACGAAAATCACAGAGGATGGGGCCGTGCACGAACGTTCACGAACGTTCACGAACACTCGCGAACGAGAGCCCGCACACAGACCACGCACGCGACAGGACCCAGGCGCAGCACGCGCGCGGGGACACGCGACAAGGCACACCCGCGCGGGCGATGCCCCAGGCGGGAGTCACGACTGCAGGAGACGCGGCCACGCGCACGGGGGACGCGCAATCCCCAGAGAGGGGCAGTGACACAAAGGGGGGCCACCTCCACAGGCCGGGGCGCCGAAGCCGTCGCCGAGAAGGGCGGGCGCGGACACAAAAGGACCGCAGGGGCACACCACCGCGTGCCCGCGCGCTCGAGTCGGGGACCCTCGCCTACCAGGAGTGTCACCCTCAAGAGCAGGGTGCGCGGGCGGCAGAGGGATTCGCACACAAAGGGGCTTCTCCCACCCGCGCCCACACATCCGGAGAGGCTCACGCTTGCAGAAGGGGGTCACCAGACAAAGGCGACACACCCACTGGGGCCGACAAAGGCGGTCACAACTCCAGCGCACCAGCACCCCGACCCACGCAGACACACCGCGGGCACCACAGCGAGCGACGCGCACACACCCACACTCACCACACACCCACGGAGGGGGTGTGGAGGGCCCGTCTCTCCGGGCATCTCGGCTACAGCGCGACAAGGTGACACAGCCGGGAGCCCTGCCGCGCGCCAGGTGTGCACTCACCGGGGCCCGCCGCCCGCGCGACTAGGACGCGGGCCGCTGCCGCCGCCGCCGCCGCCGCCTCGGGCCCTCCACGTCAGCCAGCTACCCGGCAAGAGCGGGCGGTGGCGCAGGCGACAGGCGCATCACGTGGGCCCGAGCGCACATGCGCGGTGGCGCCGCCCCGCCCCCTTCCGTCTGGGCAAGCGGAGCCGGTCCGCAGGCCCCCGCGCTCCGACCCAGCGAGGGTCGCGGTGCGCCTGCGCCCGGGCTGGGGGGCGCCGAGGTGATTCGGCCATTCTCAGTTTTTCGTCTGTCGCCCCCCTGCGGCTCCCTGGTAGGCGCTTGCGCAAGGGACTAGGCGCTAAGGCGGCGGAGCTGTCGGGAGGAGCCCGAGTGGGCGCAGAAGGGTCCCAAGGACAGGGCAGCCTACCCCACCCCAGCCTCGAATGAGAAACAAAAGCCCCTAAGGGGGGACTGGGGGTCCCGGGTGCCGCGACCCAGGCTGTGGTGCTCGCGCGGGACTCGGGCCGAGCCCTGCCTTTCCCTTCCCACAAAGGGGAAGCCTGCAAAGCTGGGGAGGCTCTGCCCTTCCTGGCTCGTCCCCGTCGCCCCCTTCTCTCCCTCAGCCCGATGCAGGGTGCGCGCACTAGCGTGGGCGCTAATGCACATATACACGCGACGTTGTGGGCTCGTGCACGCGTGCAGGCTGGTGTGTGTCGTCGGTGTGTGCGCACATCGGCAGTTTGCAGGGGTTTAGGCTAGGAAGAAACCTGCAGAGGCTGTGTCCATAGCAAAGCGATGAGGTTATAACAAACCAACGGCGAAGGGGAGTAAATCACTGACGGATGATTGTTTTTTTTCCACAGATTGTTTAAAGCCACAGGGAAAATGGTGGAAAATTCACCGTCGCCATTGCCAGAAAGAGCGATTTATGGCTTTGTTCTTTTCTTAAGCTCCCAATTTGGCTTCAGTAAGTACTTTCCTGATGGATACCCAGAGCCTTTTTCTGGTGTTCAAGGACAAGGAAATTATTGCATTTGTTCTTAGAATGTGTACATACGAACTGTATTCTTTATACCTATGTCTCTTTTGATGATAACTGGTACCATGGGGAGAAATTAAGAAATTATGTTTCTTTTGAAGAAAACCTGAAGGGAACTGGTGTTAGTTCAGAGTTCTATATGCCAGACACTAGCCTAAGAGATTTAATCCCAACAAATATTTATACAGCACCAGACAGGATTGCAGAGTGAATAAAATCTGGTCCTTGTGGTCATGGTCTTACAGACAAAACGTATACGTAAATCTACAATTAACACTCTGTGTGATAAGTGTTATGCTGGCCCAATGAAGAGACAGGAAATCAAACAGGGAAGTTAGCTTTCTTCCCAGCAGTAAGAAGGAAGAAGTGGGCAGGCTCTGAATGAAGGGTTTGGAATGAGTGAGGGTATTGCTTTAGCGCAGCCTGGGGGAGCTAGGGAGTGGAGGGAAATTCTGTTAGGGAAGTCAGATGCACTTTACATCCTGGATCCTCCTCAGTCCCAGGAAAATCCCAATTTACAGGTAAGGAAACTGATTCTCATTGAGGCACTAATATGCCCAGAGTCACACAGCAGGTTCCCTGTCTCTCCTCAAAGGGAAACAAGGAGAAAATTGGGATGTAACAATCCAACTTTTTGTAATTTTGTGGAATCCAGGGAGGTAGGGGGTTGGCAGTACTTCTGAACCCTAACTGTGTCGGTGTAGCCAACCAAGCTGCTGGCTAGGGGAATCTGTGGAGTGAAGAAATTATAATGTGTTCAAATCCTGATTCCTCCACAGACTGTGTGACATCTATGCATAAAGCAAATTGCTAAGTGCTACAAGGATTACTTAACTGTGGAGCCTTTGGATTTTTCATCTGTAAAAGGGTGGTGGTAATGTTTACTGAATTCTGCTTATGCAAAAGACAGTCCTATGAGGTAGATACTGATATTATCGTCCTTATTTTACAGATGAAGATACTAAGGAACACAGGGCCCAATGTCACACAGCCAGTAAGTGATAGATAGACTTGAACCCAGATACTGGCTTGACTTCAGTCGTTCCCTTTTATAGCTCTTGTTAGGATTAATTGCCATAATTTATGCAAAGCACTTAAAACAATGCATAGGAAAATAAGTATATCATAATTACTAGCTGCTGGGTATTATCAGCATCATCATTTTTGTAAATCCCTGCTCTATAGAATATTTGAAAGATTAGAAACTATGTAAATAAGTAAAAGATATGACTTTAAGACTTAAATCCAATAATACCCATAATAAAAAATTAATTCAACAAATTTTTGAGTGCTTCCCAGATACCAGGCACGATTGTAGGCAAAGGAGGAGCACAGGAGTAGAAAAATGTCCTGCTTTCATGGAGCTTTCATTCCAGTTGGGGAGATAGCCAATGGACACATTAAATAAGTAACACATACACAACTTCCAGATGATAACTTGTACCATAGGGAGAAATTAAGAAAGGAGAATAAAGAGTGGGAAGAGATTGCTATTTTAATATAGCAGTCTGGAAGTATCTCAACAGAAATGAGGTTTAAGCACAGACATGAAAGTTCATTTAGCTTTGTGGCTATCTGGGGAGAGAGCCTCCCAGACAGAGAACAGCCAGTACAGAAGCCCTTAGGAAGAATCATGCCTGTGGGTTCAAGGAACAGATGGGAGTTCAGTAAGGTTGAAGCCTAGGAAAGCGAGGCAGAAAGTAATAGGCTGGAGGAGGTCAGGGGCCAGTACCCAGCAGTTATGATGAAACTTAAGTGGTGGGTGCAGGAGGGTTACATGATTCTCTCTATAAGTTGAAATATTTACTGATTTAAAAACAAGTTAATTGTTTTAGTCTGTTCAGACTGCTGTAACAACATACCCTGGACTGGGTGGCTTAAGAAATAGACATTTATTTCTCACAGTTCTAGAAGTTGACAAGTGCAAGGTCAGGATGCCAGGATGGTTGGGTTCTTTGTGAGGGCCCTTTTCCTGGCTTGCAGATGGCCACCTTCTTATTGTGTTCCCACAGAATGGAGAGAGAGCTCTGGTCCATCCCTTTTTTATGAGGACATTAATCCCATCATGGGGCTCCACTCGCATGACCCCTTTTTAAACCTAACTACCTCCCAAAGGCCCCCCTCCAAATACCACCACACTGGGGATTAGGGCTTCAAATGTGAATTTGAGGGAGACATAAACATTCAGTCCTTAACAGTGATAATATATTTTGTAATGGCTTCAAAGGAAATGATAGGGAGTAATAATGGTTTGGTGGGTGGGACATAGTTGGAATAACAAGTGATAGGGAAAGCCTTTCTTAGAAGGTGACATTTGAGCTAAGACATGATGGAAGAGAAGAAACCATCCATGGAAAGAGCCAAGGGAAGAACATGCCATGCAGACAACACTGACTGCAAGTGCGATGGCCCTGAGACGCTGTCTAGAGCCAAGCGTAGTGCATCAGGACTTAACAGTGGAGAGGTGGGCAGGAGCCAGATTATAGAAATTCTTGCAGGCCCTGGTAAGGGTTTTGGATTTTATTCTAAGAGTCTGAGCAGGGAAGAAATGTGGTCAGATTTTTATTTTTGGAAGATCACTCATTGTTGTGTGAAGAATGACTGCTCAAGTATTCTTTGTTAATTACTAGACACCCACTCCGAAAACCTGGGAGTGGTGCTTTACTTGTGCTTTTCTTTCTTGCCCTCATTCATCCGCCCCTAGCACTGAATCCCGTGGGCCTCCTATTGCCTCTGCTCTTCCACAGATACATCTTACACACAGCCGTCAGTGACTCACAGACCTGAACTCCTCTCCTTAAACCTCTGGTTGGAGTGTGAATGGTCATTTCTTTGTAGTTTGCTGTATCCTTAAAGACAAAATATCCAGTTGTTCCCACTGCCTAGAGCATGAAACCCATGTTCCTTGTACAGAATTTTTCATGATCTGTGACCTGTTCGCTTTTTCAGCTTTATTTTTCACACTGCAGCCACTCTAACCTGCTTTGAGCTTTCCCCAAATACATTGCACTCCTCCTACTCATCTCCATGTTTACTAACGTTCTTGCTGCCACCTGGAAGCATGGGGTGAGCACGCTGCTAGTGTCCAAATTCCAGCTCAGTAACTTTAGCTGGGAGATACTTAAATCCCTGACCCTCAATTTCTTCATTTGTGAATTAGGGATAATAATAGAAATCTTCCAAAAAGGGTTTGAGAGGGTTAAATAAGAAAATGCACAGAAAGTTCCTGCCACTCACTACATTTGACTCATTGCTGTCATCCACACTAATTTGTGAGAATGGGGACTGTGTCTTACTTTTCTTATAGATTTGACTTTTCTATAGTGCCTGGCATATATTAGATACTTAGTAAATGCTTGTTCATTTAATTAGTTAATTTCCATTTATGAAATTAGGTTACGTTTACCCACTATTTGTATTTCTTTAACCTTAGAAACTACCTCAGGCTTCAAGCCAGTTCCTTGCCATCTTTTCCCTCCACACCAAATCTCTCTTCAAATTCCTCTTGCTCTCTTTGTGGGCCATGGCAGGGAACAACCATTTTCTCATTTCCTCCTTCCTTTCATCTGCAAACCCCAGCTGTGTACATTTTTAATCTGGCTAATCCCCTACTCATCCTTTAGGCCCCAATTTAGTTGCTTCCTCCAGGAAATCTTTGCTGAGTATTATCACCAGCCCCATCACCATCAGTGTGGGCTAAGGTCCCTCCTATACATCTTTTATTATTCAGCATTTATCACAGTGTAATAGAAAGTACCAATTTATTTGTCTGTGCTCCCTACTAAGTTTTAAGCTCAAGGAGGGCAGAAGCCATCTCTTTTAGGTTCACCTTTATATCTCACACTCCTCACAGATCTGTAATGCATACCTGCGGAGAAAAATATGAATCCTTCGTCATCATTGATAAAGTGGTTTGAAATTGTCTATGCCACTGACCTTGGGCAGATGAGGCAACATTTCTGATTCCATTTCCTCATTGTAAAAATGGCATACATACCTCTCAGGATTGTTTTGAGGATTAAATGAAACAATGCATGTAAAGTACTTAGAAGTGTGTGTGGCCCACAGTGAGTGCTCAAAGATTAGCTGTTGCTATTAAACAGAGACCACAGTGAAGGGCGCCACAAAGACTTGGACTGAGGGAAATAAGATTGTATTCTGGGACATAAGGCAGAAATCCAACATGTGCTAGCTGAGAACAAGGGTACATAAATTCACCTATAAGCAATTAAGTGTCTACAGTTACGTAAACCCTGTGGGGGTGAAGTTTTGAACATCTATGCATAAAGCAAATTGCTAAGTGCTACAAGGATTACAACAATTGCTAAGGCATGATTTCTGCTCTTAAATTGTTTAAAATGAGGGTTAAGACATGCTTAAAAAAATGTCTAATGGGAAAAAAGAATTGTTCAATGGGTAGAGAGGTTTAAATTTGCAAGATTGAAAGTGCTAGAAATCTGTTTCACAGCAATACAAATATACTAATAGAAAGTAATTGTCTTAACTATTACCAGAATGATAGAAATAGAGAGCTAGAAGAATTCAAAGGAAGAAAAAATCATTTCCAAGCTAGTCAGGGAACCTTCAAAGGAGCTTTTTTGTATTATCTGAACTTGATAGATGAGATGCATGCCTTACCAACTTTTTTCTTCTCTTTTTTAAAATTTTTCCTCTTCTGCAGTGCTGTATCTCGTGTGGGCTTTTATTCCTGAACCTTGGCTAAACTCCTTAGGCTTAACCTATTGGCCTCAAAAGTAAGTTTAATATATATTTCTTAAATAAGAATATATTAGTGCTCTTTTGAAAGATCAGATTTTTTCTTAAGATTCCCCAAATACTAGGATCCATAAATAGCCATATGGAAATTTAAAGCTTTTTAAAGGTCATTATTGATACAGCCTTACCATTATTGATAAAATATGGTGGAGTGAACACAAATTTTTTCCATTTCCTACCAACATCTTGTTAAGATAACACCCCAGGAAAAAAAATTAAGGTATAAAACCCACAGGAACAAATAATGGGATAGTAAGAAGTGGATTGCAGATAGGTGCGAGGTAATTGACTGAGTTTACACTTTTTCCACATTGCTAAAATAGGGAAGGATATAGGATTGCAGTGTTTCATTATAGACTTTGTAGAATTCTTTGTCTTTTATATACATGTATTACTTTAATAAAAAAAAAATAAGATTCTAAAGGTATTTTAACTTGGTGATGGACCCATGAGAACTGCAGCATTTTAGGAAATCTGTTACCTATTTTCATATTCTGTTCCACAGATACTGGGCAGTTGCATTACCTGTCTACCTCCTCATTACTATAGTAATCGGTTATGTGCTCTTATTTGGAGTAAACATGATGAGTACTGCTCCGCTCAGCTCCATTCATACAATCACAGGTAAATGTGTATTAAAAGAAAGTGCTGGTGGAGTTGGAGGGCAGCCGGGTATTAGCAATTTTATTAAGAAAAGCAAGAATAAGGTGAAGTAGGAGACACACATTAGCACAGTAAAAAGAACCTAGGAGAAATAAAAATGAAATACACCAGAGGAAATGTTAATGTGAAATAATTTCTGATGAATATGCTGTTCATAGGACTAATTAACAGGTATATTTTCCCATTAAAAAAACACAAGTGTATAATTTGTTCCTCAGCAACTTTGCTTGAGAAAAACTTTTAAATAGGCATTGTTGACCCAGGGGTGGTAAATAGGTCCATGTGGACCTTGTCCAGGAGAGGGATTTGAGGGTGTGAATCCTCCTCAGGATCACTGTGTAAACCTGACCACAGTTAAGTGGGTAGAAAAGCCATAGTGTGTTTTTGTAGGATTTTTTTCAAGTTCTTTTATTTCAAGTCTAAGGATCAAAATAAAATATTCCTGAGGTTGCTTAGATTCTAGGAAGTGAAGTATTTTTAAGTTCCCTGGTATGCTTTTTTTTAACTTTTCAAAGCCTTTTTTCATGAGCCTATATTATGTATTTTGAAAATCAGTTCTTTTTTATATTTCTTTTCTGATAACCTACTGTATTCCCTGCATTCTCGACTGGAATTACAGAAAATAGACAATTTGTACAAAGAGGGGAAGTTCGGTTTGCATGAATGATTGAACCAAATGATTTACTAGTTCTGGGGTGTTGATTTAAATACACTTCCTAAGCCTGGGTATAATTCTGTGTCCATGAAAAATGTGCAAATGGGACTTTCATCATCATTGTACACTTAATGAAATAGTAATTTCTTATCCAAGTTAGAAATACACAAAGTACTTCTCTGATTTTTATTCTAATTGGAACATTTCTTCTAAAAAGAATTCAAGTAGTCTTTTAATTATGTTAAATATGGTATTTGTCATTATCCAGACATTAGCCTAGTAAAATATGTGGTGGATCAACGTAAGCCACAGAGACTATAGAAGAAATTGCTTGGGTTAACAGACCTTTTTGTCCTCTTCTTACAGATAACTACGCTACAAACCAACAGCAGAAGAAAAGCCAAGAAGAGGCCATCCCAGCATTAAGAGATATCACGATTAGTGAAGTGAACCGAATGTTCTTCCTTTCAACCGGAGAACTTTACACCAAAAACTGAATTGTATCTAGACTAACACCAAACATTTGTGAGAAGTTTTTGACTGTAATTTTGACCATAAGTATTTGAACTATCTCTCTTGTATTTAATACCCAATATTGAAAATTTTTAAAATGTGAGCTGAACTTCTTAGATTAAGTTCCATTAATATCATAAATGTTCTCAAATATTAGTTGTTAGTGGACAGAATAAAATACTGCATTACCATATAGCAGACTTTTAAAGAAATAAGTATCAGTAAAACAAGAAGCCCCACCAGAGAGGCGTTCATGTTGTCATTTTCAAAGGGCAGTTTCATCCTTCCTGCTTTTTGTTCTTAGAGGCCCAGAATTCAAAGCCTTAGATTTAGGAGAAGAGTGGTACATTTAATTTAATCTAAAAACAAACATTTATTGATTACTTACTGTATACCAGATATTTTTCTAGGCATTGGTTGATGTAGCAATGATAAGATTATCTCCTAAAAAGCCAACATTTTGGAGGCATATTGTGACAGACTAAGCAAATAAACAAGAAAATGTTTGTGATGAATGCTGTACAGAGAATTAGGATAGGATGATGTGGGGAGTAAAAGGGTACCCACCTTAGATTGGTGGTCAGCAAAGACTGCTCAGAAGGAGGCAGTTGAGACTGAGATTTGATTAGCAAAAACAGGAGCCAGTCAAAAATGTTGGAGGGGGCATTCCATGTGCAAAGCATCCAGGGCAAAGACCTTCAGATGGGGAGGCTCTGAGTGTCCTGAGGACAGAAGGCCAGCAGGGGGCCTAGTGCATCTGTGCAAGGGGTTGTGGGGTGAGCCTGGAGAGACCCAGGAGGACCAAAGGGCTTTGTCGGCCAGTGTAGCAAGTCTGGACTAAAGTGTCAGTGTGATGAGTTTGACCCCCTTCAGATCCAGAGCTATGGGGATGCTGATGTATTTTTTTAAGAGTCACTCAGGATGGATTCAGGAGGCGAAGTTGAGGATGGGGCAAGAGTATGGAAGTAAGGCCAGTCAGGAGGCCGCTGTCTAGTCCAGGCAGGAAACGCTCACCGCTTAGAGCAAAGTGGTAGCCGTGGAGCTAGGGAGGAGTTGGTAGCTTTGCACTATTTGCTCGAGGCAGCTGGTTGACTGGGTACAGATCTGACTGTGCAGGTTAAGCCTGCTACTGAGAGAAGTTGTGATCAAAAGCCAGTCCTTGTTTTTTTATTTTTTGATGTTTTGTGGGGTTTTTTGGATTAGCGAACTGTATTCATGAATGGTTATACCTTTCGCTGAATCAAACAGTGTTTGGGGAAGTTCAGTTGATGGGGTGGGAGGACTTGGTCTGTCAATTAGTTTGAATGACGCTGCCTTATCTGTGTGTGTCCATGTGAGATTAAGAAGCTTAAATAGAAATAAGTTTAAAGAAAACAAACCATATATAACTTAGCAAGAGTATACTCACATTTGGCCAGTGGGACCATATCTAAATTCACCTAGCATTCAAGGCCTTCTAGCTTTTGATAGTGGAGCTACATATTTTAACTTAGGCAAATTTGACTATAGTTTCTAAGTCAAATAGTAAAAGAAACTAATTATTTTAAATAGTTGGGGAAACTATAACTTCCATTTCAATAACCATATCCCCATTCAGAGAGCAGGAGATGGCTAACATGGATTTACTATTCCTGTTCTCTAGTTTGCCCCAGTTCCCATATTTATTGTGGTAAGAGCATGTCACCACACTTAAGAGTAGTTTAGGGGGACCAACCAAATCCATCAAGGGTAGGATAGTAAATAAACTGTGTCTGTTTAAACAAAGTGGGAAACTATACAGCTATGCAAACAAGAATGAGTTACTGCTCTAAACCACATGAATAAATATCACTGAATATTGGGCAAAAAAAAAAGCCAGGCATAGAACATATACTGGATGGTTTACATGAAGTTCAAAATCAGGAAAAACTTTTCTGTTGTTATAAATAGTAGAATAGTGGTACCAACTAGGATGAGGCATGAGGAAATGCCCTGACCAGTTGGAAATGCCCTATGTCTTGATCTGGGTTGTGTGCCCAAAGGGCTTTTGCATATCTGGGTCACCTTTAGAAATTAAAGTAGGAATTGAAAAATATTTACATGTTTGTAAGTAATAAGCCTATTATATTTTGGTATATTTAAAATAGCATATTATGAAAAATAACTATCTTCCAAAACAAAAAATATTTAGTGAGATGAGTAGAATTGTTTCACATTTTTTACAGAAAATCTCTGTAATGTCTGGTTTAATGGAACCAGATATGGTCTCATCTGCTTCTGCATTCAATCTGTTCTGGTATCATATGTCACAAGCTTCTGGGAAACTGCTGCAGCCTTGTGGGGATGAGAATGAAAAAGACAAATAAGCATCTGAGTGGTATTATGAAGTTGATTTAGACCTGAGAGAGCCCCCTGAAACAGGGCCTCCAGACCACTTGAGAACTGCTAGCTAATGGACCTCACCTAGCATGTGTGTATGAGTGTGAACTAGAACAGAATACAGTATAGCAGAGGGCATTGCACTTGGTAAGGAGAAATATGTTGATTGAACACCTCTGTGGTCACTTCAGATCCTCTGTTCCACCTCTTAGTCCAGTCACTGAAGCTACACAGGTGCCACTTGATACTGTCCTCTGGCAGGAAGGGGAGTTAACACACATAGGACCCTCTGGAGGCTAGCATGGGGCAGGCATCCTATCCCCTAAGGAGACCATTCTGAGCTCCATTTCCAGACTCTTTGGGAGGTTTTGTAAGATGGAGCTGTGGTCTCCATGGCAACAGGGAGCTCAGAACACAACGCCTGCATTGGCTCTCTCTGCTTTTTTTTGCTCCCCTTGCTTCCCACTCCTGCTCCCCAGTGTCACTTTGCAAACAGACTGCCCACACACAAGCCTTTTTCACAGGTTCTGCTTTCAGGGGAACTCAAGCTGAGATGTTCTTGTTCTATCAGTTATGGAACCATGATGTATAGTGCATTTCCCTGCTGTATGTCATTATCTAAGAAAAAAATTTAAAAGACAGTGTGTTTTGCAATAAGCCCAAATAATAGCATAAAGCACTCCAAATAAAAAATGTCAGTAATTTAAAAATGTTCCAGTTTTAACAAAACCCCTTCTGTAATTAGATTCAAAGTGAGAATTTAAAGTCTAAATATGAAATCACCTACATGAAAAGCCAACAATTCAAATCCAAAATTCTGCCCTCCCTAATTTCTTGACCTGCCTGTTTCAGTCTAACCAGATATGGTCTCATCTGCTTCTGCATTCAATCTGTTCTGGTATCATATGTCACAAGCTTCTGGGAAACTGCTGCAGCCTTGTGGGGATGAGAATGAAAAAGACAAATAAGCATCTGAGTGGTATTATGAAGTTGATTTAGACCTGAGAGAGCCCCCTGAAACAGGGCCTCCAGACCACTTGAGAACTGCTAGCTAATGGACCTCACCTAGCATGTGTGTATGAGTGTGAACTAGAACAGAATACAGTATAGCAGAGGGCATTGCACTTGGTAAGGAGAAATATGTTGATTGAACACCTCTGTGGTCACTTCAGATCCTCTGTTCCACCTCTTAGTCCAGTCACTGAAGCTACACAGGTGCCACTTGATACTGTCCTCTGGCAGGAAGGGGAGTTAACACACATAGGACCCTCTGGAGGCTAGCATGGGGCAGGCATCCTATCCCCTAAGGAGACCATTCTGAGCTCCATTTCCAGACTCTTTGGGAGGTTTTGTAAGATGGAGCTGTGGTCTCCATGGCAACAGGGAGCTCAGAACACAACGCCTGCATTGGCTCTCTCTGCTTTTTTTTGCTCCCCTTGCTTCCCACTCCTGCTCCCCAGTGTCACTTTGCAAACAGACTGCCCACACACAAGCCTTTTTCACAGGTTCTGCTTTCAGGGGAACTCAAGCTGAGATGTTCTTGTTCTATCAGTTATGGAACCATGATGTATAGTGCATTTCCCTGCTGTATGTCATTATCTAAGAAAAAAATTTAAAAGACAGTGTGTTTTGCAATAAGCCCAAATAATAGCATAAAGCACTCCAAATAAAAAATGTCAGTAATTTAAAAATGTTCCAGTTTTAACAAAACCCCTTCTGTAATTAGATTCAAAGTGAGAATTTAAAGTCTAAATATGAAATCACCTACATGAAAAGCCAACAATTCAAATCCAAAATTCTGCCCTCCCTAATTTCTTGACCTGCCTGTTTCAGTCAGAAGGATCTCAGTCAGGTGCCTGGGTTTCCTCAAGAAGCTGCTGCTTGGGCCCTTACTAGAATGGGTGTCACCCCTTATGCAAATTTATAGTTTCTTGTACGTCTCACTTTTTCAAAGATTCAAAGGATGCAGTATCATATTACCAGCCCCATGTCCATGAAGCTTAGAAAACCCAAATAAATCAACTGCTCCTAGAACCCAGTGCGTTGGACAGCATGGACTGTATGCAACATGAAGAGATCCTTTGTCTTCCCAGGATGCAGGTCAGACTGGGGCAGTTGTCAAGATTCTTGGTCACTCATTGTAAAACCATTGAGTTAACCGTGGCACTATAGACTGCCTTTGGAATGGACAGAAATTTACCTATTTCCCCTTTTCTAGTCAGGATAGTCTTAAGTCAAAACACAATAAAAGTTCATTTTTCAAAGAATAGCGCTTAGATAGCCACCACGTCTGATGGGGCCACATAGACTAATCGATGGGCAGCAGATGTGTCGGGCGTCACCTATGCAGACTCACGACCAGGGACTAAGTGTTCTCTTCCCTCCGTGCCTCGTCACCACATTAAGCCTGGGTGTGCCAGAGACGGGATGGAGACCCGAGGGGCCAAAGGAGCCTCAGAGTCAGAAATGATGGCTTTAGAGAAAACAGTTAAAGTTCTGGAACAGGTGCATTTGTGTACCAAGATTTTATCTCTTTCACGAGATACTGAGGAAAACTCCAGTAATTCAGTACCTGCCTCAGGCTATTTCTGCAATTCCAGAGTGCTAAAGCTCTGTTTGTATGGGTCACAGTCCCAGAGGACCACATAGCCAGGCCTGGATGATGCCATCTAAGCCTCACAGTGACTCATGTCACACTC